ATATATACATTGTCACATGATATCAGAGCGCCAAAGCGAAAAACAGAAACAAGAAAAACTTAATTCATTTTTAATCTTCTTCCTTACAACTCCCCCTGTTCAGAACCTCTTGCGTACAAGGCCGCCCACGTGGATGTAGCCCCCACCCCCGTGTGTCATATCGACCCACTGGCACACAGCCAAAAGGCAAAGAGGCAAAGAAGAGAGGAAGGGAACAGCCAAATAAAACAGAACAGGGGGCAACAAAACAGATCCCAGATGACAAGTCCCACATGCAAGCACCGCCATTGCCCACAGGCCAAACGAGGGACAAGACCAACCAGGATGCCAAAACATTCTTGTCGGCAACGAAATCAAAAAAAGTACCAAATTTTCTGGGCGGTCTTTTGGCCCACGTGGTTTACCTGCCCAACCGGCCGGGCGGCATCCTCACTCAGGAAAAAAAAAAAAAAAAAAAAAAGATGCTACCTTTCTAGGCCTTGTTGTGGCTATAAGATCAAGCGTAGGATCTGTTCTGAGCAGTTCAATATCCGATCCGTGGTCCATTGGGTCAATTCAAAAAAAAAAAAAAAAAAAAACACAGAGGAAGAGGAAGAAAAACAGAAGAGATGACAACAACAATCAGATTACCGCCACGGGCTGGGACTGCACAGGACATTGGGCCTACCCACGCAGTCCCAACCCGGGCAGTCATCTAGGGCGGTGGGGGAATAAGCTGAGCTTGTCCTGGGCATCCCTTTGAACGTGATGTACGCGGACATGCATCATACGCCCCCCGTACTAGGCATGATTTTTTTATTTTTTTGGTACGCGTTTGTATGCGCGTACAAAACAGCCTTTTTTTCCTTTTTTTTTCCTTTTTTTTTTCCTTTTTTTTTCCTTTTTGATATTTACCTCAAAATTGGTTGCGAATTTAACTTTTTGTCAGAGGCCAGAATATTTCAGAATAATGTCTTCTATCCTAGCCTACCAGCCGGGCCGCCCGGGTCCCGGGTGGCCAGCCCGTGCAAGGACCAAGGAAGGTCCCAGAAAAAAAAAAAAAAAAAATCCAAAAATTCCGAAAAAAAAACTATGTTACGCAGAAAAATAAACTGAACAACTTTTGACTCAAGGTCACGTCGAAATTCTTCACCAAATTTAGAATCAAATTTAAAATTTAAAAATAATTCTTTTATTTTTATTATTTTTATTATTTTTATTTTTTTTGGCCCGGCCGGGCAAGTGACCCCGGGCCACTTCGGTAGCCTAGCTTCTATCACATTTATTTTTTTTCGGACTTTTCTGAGGAACCTTTTTCTTTTTTTTTTTTTTTTTTTACAATGGTGCTGCGGGTAGAGTACAACACGGAGCACAACAACGGAGTACAACGCCCGTACAAAAAAATAAAAATAATAATAAATAATAATAAATAATAATTATTTTTGTACGCGAGGCATGCCTAGAGCTTGTCTAGACTTTTGCTCATCTCCCTCTCTCCTCTTACGACCCTGTGTCTGTGCTGGCCAATTGATAAGCAACCCGACTTCTGCTCCCCCCAGAATAGATGGGGGCCCTTTTTTCAACAACAACAAAAAAAAAGAAACCAAGGGTAATTAATTAGCACGTGCATGACGCACCAATAGTTTTGCAATGATTCAACACTCCCAATCAGCATGCAATCACACACCACGCAGAAGTACACAGATGCAATCAAATCATCGTACACGGGTAGTTTCTGATTATGGTTCTGGTATTTTACCACAGATGCAATCAAATCATATTACACGTGTTGCAAGGAGTCGACACAGATGCAATCAAATCATAGTACACGTGTTACAAAGCACAAGTACACAAGGTACATGAACTGAATGCTTAACGCCGGCGGCTATGACACCCCGACCGGTTCCGACAGCCGCCATACGGCCTTCATCAGGGAGAAACCACCATACTTTGTCCCTCATCTACATCGTTTCTCACCGTCACTCCCCCTTCCACCGATCTTCCCACTAACACATGCGGAGAGATGAAACCAGAAGTCGCTCACTGAAATCCACACCGAATTGTTGTGTATCACAGAAAGAAATTGTGTCTCCTTCAGCGGCACCTGCCGCACACCAACCAAGTACGAATCTAACTGCTCTCCCTCTCCCTCATGTATGACTCTCCCTCTCTCTCTCTCATGGGTTGCATCGCTCAAACTCCCTATCACGTTCATGCTCTCCCTCTTCCTCATGGATCCACCCTGAATACAGCTGCGATGTACTCCGCCAAACCTCGGCGCACTATGGCTGTGTTCTTCCTCCTCGCTAGCTACAGTAGCCAGCCGTCTCCTTCCTCACTGGGCACTTGCGCCTCCGCTAGCGCCCCCTCCCATCCATGTCGCACTGTCACACAAGCAACCCGCAGCACATCCGCAATTTGCATATGAATAGTTAATCCCGTTGGCTGGTGCTGCGGAGCTTTTATATTTGCTGATCCGCTTTCCAGACATCTACTGTTGGTTACGGGTCCGTCCTCTAGCCCTTGTCCCCTGCCCACAGCACCTGGTGACTGTGGTGCATTTGCCTCCCGACCGGGTGCCTTAAGGATGCAGGACCCTGAGTTCGAGGGGGGTGTGCCCTGGCGCAACGGCCTCCAGGCTGATACTCCTGGGTGTGTGTTGCAAGGCCTCTCTTCTCCCCCCTCTCAGAGACCTCTAGTCTTGAGTGATTCCTGAGTAAGTGGGTGGGTCCGCTGTGCCGACAGGTGGGCTGAAGCCCCCTGCCGGACTTCCTCCCTAAGTCATAACCCCAACACCTCCACAACCCTTAAAAAAAAAAAAAAAGAAGAAGAAGAAAGAAAGAAAGATTACCGATGTGCCAGAGGGCCAACCGATGATTACGAAGTTACGAACCAAATGACGACAAAGCATTTATTGATTAATTAATTAAATTTTAATTCCTCGTTTTGTGCACATCATCCTTGCATCCAGGCCTATACATTAAAAGCAAGAAGTCCTGAGCCAGTCTTTTTTTTTTTAAATAGAAAAAAAAAAACACAGGAAACTGCCTCAATCTATTAAAAAATAAAAAGGAAATCACCTCAGGCTGTCTTTTCTTGTAGCATATAAAGAACAGGAAATTAACTCGATCTATTGAAGGAAAAAAAGGAGATTACCTCAATACCTAGCCGAGTGATGGCTGCAACCTCCCGTGCTATAGACATGGTTATCTGCAAGTTCAGGGGGACGAACGAGGGTAGGGGGAGGAAGGAGGGTAGTATGAGGGGGAGAGGGAGGGGGAGGGGGAGGGGACAGGGAAGGGGAAAGGGGAAAGGGGAAAGGGGAAAGGGGAAAGGGGAGGGAGGAGCACTTGGTCAGTCCGCAGTTTAAGGTAATGCCACAACCAACGAGATGCTTCATCAACAGCAAGGGAAAAAACAAAAAAAAACCTCCATTTTGCCCACCAACTCTCAACAACAGCTGTCTGACCAAACGGGAAAAGAAAAGAAAAAAAAATTCGGACAACAAATCAACCAACCTGGCGCCTGTCGGAACACACTCGTGAGAGGGTGTACCCCTCGGCATAAGGCCCTGCAGCAGACGTGTGCCCGCCCTAAGTGAAGGTGGGCCCCCTGAATCTCAATGTGCCCTGAGTTCTTCAATTTTTGCAAATCTTGGTGGGCGTCAGATAGTTGCCACGCACCAGATGGTTACATCCGCTTGCTCATGGGAATCGGAAATATGTGTGAGCCTTCCAGGCTCTTCCAGCGACGTGGTCGAAGCAGGGAGCACCGCACGTTTGTGCCTGGGTGGTTGGTCATGCCTAACAAATTTGGCCCCAGGCCACTGTCTGAACAGGCTTGGGCGCAGACACTTCGGCCCAACCTGAACCTACAAGGCACGTGAGGCAGGCCAGGCAGCAACCAGCCACGCCACTTTGCATAAAGCAAAGTGCCTGGCCGAGGGAAGGGATTCGGGCACTTGAAGGTGCAAGCGGCAGCGCTGCTGGAGCAAGGGCTCGCCGCTGCAAGTTTAGCACTAGCGCAAGTGCAGAGCACGCGTGGGCGTTCAGGTCGAGGGCGCTGCAAGAAGGCAGGACCACAGCGGAGCCCCCATAGCCCGGCTCCAGCTTGGATAGTCAGCGGTGTTGGTGGTGGTCTTCGTGTACAGGGAAGACGTGGGTAGAGAAGATGAGGCAGAGAGAGAGAGAGAGATGGGGACGATGATGTGAGGGCACGTACCTGGTCTTGGCGGTGGTCTACAAGGTCGACATCTTCATGTACTTCGGTTGTTGCTGCTGACGTCAACAGGATGCATTGTCAATTCGTAGGCTGCTAGTAGCCGTGTGATCGTAGTCTGGGTGCTGAGCGCCAAGTAGGAAGAACATACATATGTTGGTGGTGGCAAGAGTATGCTCTCATTGACATTCAGATTCAGTGCTTTGGTTCTCCGTTGGTGGAATATCAGTGCATTTCTGCTTCCTGGACAGCGTTGGACTTGCTGGCTTTCAATGTGATTTTGCACTCTGGATTTCTGGCATTTCACTACCGCTCATTTTCCTTGCACTCGACACGACAATATAGAAAGAAAAAAAAAAAATCAACATAGTACAAATAAAACTAAACGTCCTCGGGGACACCCATTAAAACTGGAATGACACCGAGAAGATTAGCATGGCCCCTGAGTAAGGATGCCACGCACAAATCGAGAAATGGTCCAAAATGGAATAAAAGAATAAAAGTAAACGGTAGTAATGGATCAACAAGGTAGGCCGCAGCAAGGAGGAGGACGGGAGGAGGAGGAGGAGGAGGAGGAGGGGGAGGAGGAGGAGGAGGAGACTGGTTGCTTAGGGATTCTCTTTTCACCTTCGGATCTATGTTGCAAGGCCTTTCCCCGGCAAGAGCTTCTTCGCCACCGACGAGCAAAGAGGGAGAAGGGGAAGGAGGAGGAGGCGGACGTAACACCAGAGAGGAGGTGACAGGAGCAAGGAGGAGGAGGGGGAGCAGGATGAGGGGGAGCAGGATGAGGAGGAAGAGGAGAAAGGTTGCTGCTTAGTGTTTCTCTTTTCACCTTCGGATCTATGTTGCCAGGCCCTTCCCCGGCGAGAGCTTCGCCACTGACTTTCAGCATTACCCGCCGCCAACGCGGACATGTTGGATTAACGGGTAAGGCCGCTCCTCCCGCCGAAGACTCCGCACGGTCGTTGGATCTGACGATAAACGATTGACAACAATGATTAATCGTTGATAAGAAGACAATCCCCAGGCCAAGAGAAAGAAACAACGTACGAAAGGAAACAGTGAAATACATCTATAATTTATAAATAAACATATATATATTGTCACAGAACCGGGTAAGGCCGCTCCTCCCACCGAAGACTTCGCACGGTCGTTGGATCTGAGGATTACCGATTGACAACAATGATTAATCGTTGATAAGAAGACAATCCCCAGGCCAAGAGAAAGAAACAACGCACAAAAGGAAACAGCGAAATGCATCTATAATTTATAAATAAACATATATATACCCACCCTCAACGGCCTCAACGATCAACGATTGATGACAACAAGAAACATCTTTCAACATTGGAAGACAGGTCGGAACACGATCGGCAAAATAAAAAATAAAAATAAAAATAAAAACAAAGTTGTATTGCATTTTGAATGTCCGGACAAAAGCTTGCAGTGTGTTAGGAGGAGAAAATTACCTCTTCAAGTCATGCTGCGCTGGCAATCTCGGAGCCAAGGTCACAAGCGGATCTTCCTGCGCCATGCCCACTATGTCTATATGGCCCTGCCACGTGTCAACCCCACAAGGGCCTGCGAGCACCAGCAACCAATCAACACAATCAATCGTTCAATTAATCAAGCAAGCAAGCAATAATCAATCAGCAAAAC